CCCGGGTTACATGGATCCGACTTACATCGGATCCCTACTTACAACCGGGGTGAGGCACCCCCGCACTAGCTACTTCCCCCCAGCAGACTAGGGAGATGCGAAGCTAGCGCGTCCCCCTCCCCCCGCCCAGCAGACCAGGGAGAGGTGGAGCGGCTTTTCTCAGCAGACACCTCAGTTTGAGATTAAAGGACTGAGGGAAGTGAGGTGTGGGAGAATAAAACTGAGCTCTGGAGAAATGTTTGGCTAGAGTTTCCCCTACAATATGTACCAGTTCCGACTTACATACAAATTCAACTTAAGAACAAACCTACAGTCCCTATCTTGTACGTAACCCGGGGACTGCCTGTACCTCGTTGTTTTTACCATGTCATTTATGGCCTGACCTATACCAGTTTAGGTCAAATGTAACCACATTAGATTAATTTTTACCCATATTGCCAAACCCGTTCTGTCGATTTTAAGGGCCATTAACGTCTATTTCAGTACTGCTTTTGATGAGGAGTAATGCTAAATTCTACCTTGACAGGTTGACTATACAGTTGTACAGATGCAGTGCTGCAAAAGGCGATGTTCTTGGCTTCTGGGTGGTGTCCCACAGTGCCCTCTTGGGACTGCTCTGGCCAGATCTTTCAGTTCTGCTACTCTCCAGGTTTATAGGAAAAGCCCTGTGAAAATTTGAATTTCATTCCCTATGTGGCCAGCGTAGTGAGTAGGACCTCAGAGCAGTCAGCACACCTAACCATGAATGCTCAGGTTTGCAAATGAGCACCAGCATGGTGGGTTCCAGAAAACCCAGACCTCATTATTGTGTGGGGAAAGGAAGCAATTCAGACAGAACTATGAACCAGCAAAAGAAATGCAGATATCTGTATCCATGCAGAGGGCATGGAGAAGAAAAGATATGCCAGGCACACCCAGCAGCATGGTTGGCAGGTGATGTAGGCAAGGGAAGGCATTGCTTTTCCAAAATTGCCTTAGCTGCCCAGGAGGGGCTGGGACTACACCACACGACTGCCTAGCTCCCCAGTGCCCAGGAAGGCTGGGACCATGCCACGCAGCCAGAGGCATAGCGAGGGTGTTATGCGTCTGTGGGCAAAGGAAAAAATCCCCCCCACACACACACACCCCACCACCACCACCATGTGGCATGGCCCTGAACCTGCTGCACAGCTGAAGGGAACTTGTACTGCATCTTCCCCCACCCCTACAGTTTGGGGCTGGGCTCCCACATGCATTAACCCGCTAGTGGAGATGGAGGAGGGTCAGGCTTGGAGCAGCGAGGCAGGGAGGAGGCTCCAGCTGTTGGTGGCAGGCGGAGTAGGAACATGTGATCTGAAGGGATAATGGGGGGGAGCAGAATGGGATTAAATTGGAGCCTCCCTAGCATGGTGCCAAGGGGCAACTGACCCCTCCGACTCCCTTGCTATGCCACTGCCCCACCTCCTGCAGATCTATCTTATGCATGTTCAAGATCTGTGAGAGCTGTCCCATGAATCTGCAGTTAGTGTCTGTGGCGCCTGCTTCTGGATGGTGTCTCAATGCTGCCACATTCACCTCCAAAGAGGGGGCTTCCCAAATCAGGCCCTTGCTGCTGACCCCCAAGGGATCTACAGGTCTAGTCTCCTTTCAATGGGCCCACTTCCATCCCCTCTCCATCCCCTTTCCAGCATTTGCAATTGCCCAGAGGTGCTCACCTTCCGCCTTATCCCTTCCCACCTCATTCACCCCACAGGGACAGTCTTTGCCTCACTTGTCCTAGGGACTGTTCTACCAAGATGTAATACAAAGTTGCCATGTAAAAGGACTCAATAGAAAGCTAAAAACTTCAATGAGAGAATGATTAATGCAAAGACATGTCTACATCTGTTGCAGGGAGACACCTCTGCCTGCCTCCACCCCTCTCCCCCCAGTCTACAGCCCCACTTTCAATGGGCCCACTTCCCAGGGCTCATTGATCTTGGATCTGGCTTCCATCCCCTCTCCAACCTTTGCAACTGCCCAGAGGTGCTCACCTTCCGCCTTCTCTATTCCCACCTCACTCACCCCACAGGGACAGTCTCTGCCTCACTTGTCCTAGGGACTATTCTGCCAAGACGCAATACAAAGTTTCCATGTAAAAGGACTCAATACAAAGCTAAAAACTTCAATGATAGAATGATTAATACAGAGATGTGTCTACATCTGCTGCAGGGAGACATCTCTGCCTGCCTCCACCTCTCTCCCTCAGAGTCTACAGCCCCATTGCAAAGCAGGGGAGGGGAAGAAAAGAGGCTGAGGCCCGTCCAATGGGACTGAAGCAGTCAAGAGCAAGCCATGCCCAGGAGCCATTCTCCTGTCCATTGCTGGTGCTGTGTTGCTTCAGGCATGCTGAAATGCAGTCATTTCTACCCATGTGACAGCACTTTTCATTAGCAATGACAGTCCAAGAATTTAACTACTAAAACGCATATCAACAGAAGATTGTTACACTGACTACTTTTTTGTTTTGGCTCCCACTCGCTGGCCACGTGTTCATCCCCACATAAACCTAAACTGCACCGCAAGGTGCAAACAAACTGGCCATGGGCAGCATACCAAGTTATTAATAAATATTTTTAAACCTTTACCTTTTCTCTCTGCTGCCATGTCTCCTCTCCTTGCTCCATCATCTCCCCTGGTGCCTGCTGCCCGCCAACTCCTCACCCTCTTCTACTGTCGGGACTCCTGCCCTTCTCACTGCCCTCAGCCCTCCTGCAATCTGCCCCCCTCCACCAGCCCTTCACTACCCCCTGTGACCACTCTTCCGGTAGCCCCACTCTGATCAAGTGATCTACACCCCCCCATTCCCTCTTCCAACACCTCCGTCTACACACCTGCCCTGCCTCTCTCCTCTGGTGCTGGTCCCTCCCCTGCAGGTGTCTGCCCTTCTGCTTCACCTCCAGAATCCCCTGGCACCTGCACCTTCCCTTACCCCTGGACTCTCCTGGTGCCTCCCCCTTCCCTTACTACCCCTGCCCTCTTTTTCCCTGATGCCCACTCCCTCACCACTCTGCCCCATTCCCCTCCTGCCTCTGTGCCCTCCCACGTGACTTGCTCCATCCCCATCTTTCTCATGCCCACCCCTCCTTTCAAGCCTTCTCCCAGTACCTCCCCCTCCCCCTCTAGACCCTAATGCCCTTACCCTCTCCTCT